CTTCATCATATCCATTCCCCAGACTTTCGAAAAACATTCGCGAGGAATTTTGAAGGAAATTATCTATGAGAAAATTAGCATCATATACTGGAAACTCCACCGCCACGGCATCAGATGAGGCAAATGCCCCTTAATATTCATAAAAGGTTAGTGAAAGGACCACATGTACTGACACTTATATGCAAACCACAGAAATCGGCAAAATAATGCACTACTTTTAAATTCCAAAATGCATAAATGATACTTTGCAGCAACTTCAAAAGTTTAAACTAAGAAGTTCCAATGCATGAATTTTGAAAGTCATGAAATCAGTTCCTATTGAGTTTTGACTGGTTTCACATACAGCTCTGACACAAAATGAATGCACTACATTACATACAGTATACACACAGCATTTTATACAGTATAATGCAGTACTGTATTCAAATACTGCATGACTTTTGGAGATTTAAAAGGCACAACAATGTTTTATACTGTGCTGTAAAATTGTACATACAGTATTTCTTGCTTATCTAATTCAAACCGGGAAATGTGACTTTTTCAATCACTTCAGGTCTTTTTTTTTAGATAATAAGGACAATTTAACACAATTCATAATTGCAATTGATGGAAATTATGCTGGAATAGGAAGTACAGTATTGCTTTCCAGAATATTAAATCATGAATAATAAAATCCAAGAATTTGAGTACCCTGTAAAATAAACAGAAAAAAGGCTTATTTGAAAGTTTCTTTCATAGAACATGATACAGGAAAATCCAATAGATGGGGCTGTGTAGAGAATATTACATGCAGTACAGTATATAGGGCCATTCAAGATGTAGGGATTATATGTTGAAGGAATTACAGAAATACTGCTGTCAAAAATTTGATGAGACTACAGTATTTCAGAAATAAAAATCAGTTTATTTATAGGACTTCAAGTGTACAATGATCACTCTTGGTAAAGTGATGGTTTGCTTAGTTATTTTAATAGATGGGAAATTTTCTTCAGCTTGCATGTGTGGCATTTCTTAATGTTTTAATGGTGTGTGTAAGATAAATTTTGGGAAATAAATGCAATACTTGGTAAGATGGGTGTGTAAGAATTGGTTTTATTTTCAAAATTTAGCGAACAGGTTGGAAAATTGTTTCAATGTCTGGGTTGGTCAGATGCTGCACAGTTTCAAATCAAGATAAGTTTCTTGTCCTTTAATTTCATGCATATATGGAAGATTCACACTCATTAAATAATAAAAAATGCACTTGTGGATGATATTCCATGCTTGAAACAAGAAAAAAAATTCTAAGAAAGTGCCATACACCATTGAAACTTGGAGAAAAACATGCACAAAATATTTTTTGAAATCACTCACATCTGACAATAAGACTCAAGCACCCACACATTTCATAAAAAATGGAACAACAAAAAAAGAAAGCATGAACTCAGACAACATATAAGCAGCCTTTTGATTGCTGCTGGTGGTCCACTTTTCAGTGTGGAACCTATTTATCATTTAGAGCCAGGATATAAATTCCAATATCCGTGATCAACATCAGCTGATGTTGACCGCGGGAACTCTGATTGTGACCCAAAATCGAAAGGGGCTGCTGCCCTATCGCGTGGTACCCAGCAAGCAGGGTGGGCAACTTCTCTGGCTTTTAATTTGATGGGACACGCCGAAAATGTATCTTCTTTTCTTATGAGCAAGCAGTCATTAACCAAAAGCGAAGTAATTAAGAGTCATATACTGTACAGTACTTTGAAAAGCACATCTTCAGATAAAATGTCCTGTATTCCATTATTCAAGGCGGATAATGATAAAAATTTATTTATGAAGGCGGTAATGATTGATTCTGCCATCAAGCAAGTAAAAAATACATTATATATAGTTAAACAGAGTTGGTTGATAGCTTTTATCAGTCTTTTGCCGCAGATTCTTTGAAATTGACATGATATGTTGAAATTAATTTCTCGGCATACAATCCTCTAAGAATTTTTAGATTAACACTTGGATGCCATTTTTCCCATGTCAATTAATTAATTTGTAAATTTCGAAATAATATACAGTATACTGTATATATATATATATACAGTATATGCAAATAAGGCATATAACCAGCATCCTTTTCTGGAAATGAGTCCTCTTTTTCCAAATGATGACAAGTATAAAGTATTTCATTCATCAGTAATACACATTATTTAGGTTTGAACAAGTGCAATGCTTGAAAATATATTGAGAAAAATCTGCCAACAAAACATGTTTTTGATATCTTGACAATGTTGAAGTGAAACATAGGATCAGTTAAATTACAAAATTGTTCCATCAAATCAAAACTTCCCCTATATAAGGGCTTGGAATGCAGACTTTCTGCTCATGTTCTATCTGACATTTAATTGGGAAAAGCTTGAAAAAAATAGTGAGAATGTGCCACCTATTTCTGTACCCAGTACATGACGTACTGCAGCTATATAGGCTCTGAACTCAGGGTATTCAAGAATATTCCTGACACTATACCCATGTAAAAACATTGTGAAAAAGTTTTGCATTTGCAGGTGGTTGGCAATTTTTCAATTCTGAAAACTTTGTTAAATCATAAAATTAAAAAACTTTCATCATGGTTTCTTTCAAATTATAGGCTTGTAATTCAGTAAAATCTATACAGTCACAATCATAACATATCTTATTAATACAAATTAATTTGTTTTTTGGCCCCTTTACGCTAGTCACAATGTCATTCTAATTTTTTTCAATGAATTGTATTGCACAGGTGGACTCTCTCTCTCTCTCTACAACAGAACTCAATGGACCAGAAACAATTTTTGTGGAGTGAATTTTGTTGTAGAGAACCAGTATAACCTGGGAAGAGAACTCTGTGGGACCACGTAAAAATTTGTCATACACAGAAATTTGTTGCAAGCAAGATCATTAAGAGAGATAGAAAGGCGCGGAAGAGAGAGTCCACCTGTAATCAAAAAGCTTTTTAAGTTACCAATAAATGCTTTGGTGCAACGTAACTCGATTTTACTGTATTTGAAATGGCCGAGCATAAATCTTACACAACTCTTACATTATTTGAACTACTGCTACTTGAAGCATAAATAAATGAAACTGCGGTCAGCCTTTCCACCGGCTGATGAACAGCAGACGATTTCTGAAATCCTCACCTCACCTCACCAAGTCACTCGCCGCATCATCACCATTAACCCAAAGAGGAATGAAACGAAGGTCGAAAGTTCACCGACGGTTAATTTATTCAATGGAGCCACAAAAGAATGTCGTCCAGAGGGAAGAGAAGATGGAGTAAAAATTGCCAAACAGGTTTCGTCTTCGGACACTCAAATCACAACCCATCACAACCGTATAACGCCATGGTAACCATTAAAACGAGATCAACTCAACAAATCTCGAAACGCCTTCCTCCACTGGAATTTCATTNAAAAAAAAAAAAAAAAAAATACAACTTTGAAAAAAAGCACAACACAATAAAGACCGATTCTGGTTCTTTTGAAAGGAAACAAAAATCATGATTTTTTGACAAACCTTAAATCACACTTCAAGTTTGGTTACAGGACAACTTGGACAGCAACAACTCAACTTTTTAAATTAACTTTTAAATTGATTGCAAGACCTTCATTCTTTATATTCCTTCCATTTCACCCAAGAAATCATCCAACACTGGCTCAGAAATCAATAAAGTTGAAAACTGCAAAGCCGGTTCACTGTTATCAGATTCTTTGTCACTCGCTTGTAGAAAATAAGAAGACTCAATTGTGCCAAAGAATATATTTTCCCTAAAGAATAAATTTTTTTCAGCTCAATTATATGCCATTTTAATTTCTATTCCGAGAACTTTTGTTAGACGTAGTGCATAAAAAAAAAACCACATCACAAATGACGCACCTCTTGCAAAGGAACAGGGTAGTTACAAACTCCGAGGAGGAACAAGACATTGGACACGCCTCTCATGAAAATGGTCGCCATGTGTATGGGTCTCGCATCGACCCGCTCCAACTTCAAGACATGCAGGGTTTGGAAATTGTTCGCAATCGGAGACACGGCCTGAGCAACGAACGCATTCACTTCCCAGTCGTGCAAAACCGGCTTCGATTTTCCCTATTTATCGAAAAGGAAAAAAGGCAAAGAAACGAATTGCAAAAAAGGAGCGAAAAGCGATATTATTGACATGCACACACATCATATAAAGTAACATCTCTTAAATGTCCTGAAACACTCGCTCAAATTTTTAATTTTACTCGTGTGGAAGACGCAGAATTGAAATTACATCCATCACTGAAGAAATTTCAAGCAATAAAATGTCACACTTGCATGTTTTATAAATTTGAAGTCATCTCAACTGCTGACAAACGCTTAAATTGATTTTAGAAACTTATTATAATAACTATACAGTATACGTTTTTTCCCTCAATTTTTTTTTTCTTCCTAAAAATGTTTCATACAATGTTGTGCAGAACGTTGAGTGTTTTCTGGAACACCTTAGATCATGAAGTATTGAAACAAATTTTCAAGTACAGAACTGTTTTTTTATTTTTAGAGTAATTTTTAAAGAAACTGGGAACACTTGCGTTTTGTTTTGCTTTTCCAAATGATTGCCAAAAGTCAGCCGATTCCTGAACAGATTTTCACCCAAAATAAGAGTACAGTAATTCTAAGACAGCTTATGCTCGTCCATGGGTTGTTCAGAAGATGATTTTCAAGAAATAAAAGGAACAGTTGCTCTGGAGAAAGTCCCCAAGGAATGAATGAATTTATACTTGAGCTAAGTTTGACTAAAACAAAATTCATGATGAAAAACTCTTTCATTTCAAGGCACACTCAGTGACAAAACGCAAGCATCATTTACTGTAATTGAGTCTGGAAGGAAGAATTTCTTTCACATCTAGTTCTGTGTCATTCCATTTTTCAAAAAGATAAGCACATTTAGAAAAAAACAGGTTCAATTTAAGGGAAGTGTACATTATTTAAAAAAAAATTCCTTTGATTTCATCAAAGAAAGTTAGAAATGACAACGCGTCCTAAATTACATATTGCAGAAGCACTTCACAATGTTCATTATACAAAATTTCAGTCTTGAATATGTTCAAGAGCATGAGGAATTTTTCGTGAAAACAATATTCTTTTCTATCAGGTTTCCCGGGAGTTCGTTGTAACGAGATTTTCCTGTACAGTGCTGTACTTGCCTTTGTCAGATAGTGAAGAACAGCGACGAGAATCAAATACTTTGGCGGGAGATCCTTCCAGCGATCGACATCGTGCTTCGGAGTCAAGCAAATGCAAAAGGTTTTCCAGCGCCACTGACCAACTTCTTCACTCTCGTCCAACCAGAGAACCTCCATGGACTTTGACTTTTCTGTAATTATTATTATTTTTTCATTCATCACAGTTCGTATTCCGGAAATAATTTAGCGATTTCTCAAATTGTTCACGAACCAGGAGGCGGCAAAACGTCAACGTAGTCGGCCTCGTCCAACACGCACGTCTTGTACACGCACCACTCGGCCACTCGAATCCGCTTCCGGTTCGGATCAGCACCTAAGAAAAAATTGAGTTCATTACTTCAACAACTAAATAATGCTTATACTTTAGTAAGTTTTGAACAGAAAAATCCTAGTTATCTCAGCCCGTGATGTTCCAAGCTTCTAAGACTTTTTCTGGATTTTCAAAACAGTTTTTAAATTTAGTGCCTGATGAGAAGTGAAAACAGCAAGGAACTGCGGCGGGCCGCAAGAGCGACATCTAGGAGATACTTTCATAACTATAGGAAGAATCGCAGACCACGTGGAAACTACAACCTTATCGGAAGATCTGGGGAACGACCGCGGAGAGGAGCAATCGAGCATCTGTCGACTTGTACAGACCTCTTTAAATCTACTGACTTCCTAGTGTTTATGGGGTGACATCGAGACAGTATAATAAAGTGTTACCTAGTTTCCAGACTTGTGCATTTATTTCCCCCAAAAACTCTTACTAAACTTTCTTGCTGTTATACAGCCAGAGTTCTCCACTCGTGTCACAGGGCGCTAAAAATTTGCCAGGCTCGTAAAAAAATATATGCCTAAAAGCTCATGGGAAAAAAAAAAAAAAACTGTTTTTTTTTTTTTGCTGGCACCCTGTGACACGAGTGGAGATCTGTCTAGTTGTAACAGGAAAGTTTTCACTTTTAATCATGCAGTAAATTGAATAACTTTTTTTTAGAATTCAGATAAAATCGCAGAACCTTATAGATCATCAGGGGCAATTTCGTAGTATTTTTTTTTAAAGGATCACACCACCTCTATAAAGCATCAGAGTTCGCGTCCAACTGGGACGACCCTCGTATACACAGTATACCGTATTAAAAAAACAAAACAAAAACCGGAAATTCCCATCGGAGATTCCCATCTCCGGGAACCGGAGATTCCCATCATTCCCAAGTGCCCATCTGTACCACCTCTGTAAATTCCACTCACTATGCATCTCCTTATTCTTGCCATTCTTCTTGTCAACAACGGGTTCAGGCGGCACAGAAAACAACACCCCGTAGATCCGCTGACGCAGGGGCCTGAAAACCAACGCGGAAGACGGCATGTCCGAACTCAGGTCCTCCAACGCCGACGAAGACTCCCAAGTGGCAGTGCTCAAAGCCGCATAAATATAGGGAAAAACCTCGCAATTCAAGTGCCTTTCCCTGGCCAATTCCATCAATCGCTTCCCAGATTCCGTCGTTGGGATCGGAGCCCGACGAGAAGAAAAACTAGCCTGACTGGCTTGCGACATGAGTCTCTTGATCGGTTGTTTCCGGAAGTCCCTGTTGTTGGCAGAGCTGGTGGTCGTGGACACGGTGTCTTCTTCCGGTTTCGTGGTTCCGGTCGAGGAAACGGCGTCGGTTTCGCCGCTCTGGTTCGTGAAGAGTTCGTAGGAATGCACGCTTTCGTAGAGAAGCTGGGCCCTCGCGGGGTCTCCAAACACGTTTTTGGCGATCGAGGTCAGAGCAGTGGTGGACAGGGAGAAAGAAGAGTCCCGGAAATGCTTCATAAACTGCGCGACTTTGGGTACGATGTGCTCGGCTCTGGGTTTCCCGACGAACTTGGCATCTTTGCAAATCCGACGATGGAATAAAACCAAGTCCTGAACACACAAAAAAATAATTTTTCTTCAAATATTTTGACGCATTTACGAAAACTTAAAAGGGGAAATCCTCTAGGAAGCAAGCTCGCAATTTATAATTTTTTTTGATCGCACAATTTTGCGGATATCCCGCTTGAAACTGGTCTGAGAAAAGATGTGCCAATTATTTTTCGTTCTTTCCTAGTACAGTGCAATACAGAATCGTAATTTTTAAAATTGTCACGGTATTCATATCACACAGATCAAGATCAATTTTCATCGAATGGAAATCAAGGTGAGCTTTACAATTTTAGATCTGCGAAACTCGCCATTTCAACGCTTTTTTATTCGTGGAGATTTTTCGTCTTTAAACAGTTGCAGTAATAGTACCAATTTTGGTCCATCCCATACAATGAGAATAACTGACACGGATCAACTACAGAACAGTTTTCCCCTGAATCATTGGCAGAAAAAAAATTTTTCAAGTTCTTAAATCGCGTCTTACAATCGATACTTCGTGCAAAATAAACTTCAGTCATTTCAGAGGATAAAAAAAAAAAAAAACCTGCGAATTGACGACGTCGTTCCCGATCAAGCTGGCAAGCAACGGCAATTGATCCACATTGAGTCCGAGATGCCAAGCGAAGGCTTCCCTGTCATAATTCGTAGTTTCCAGGGACTCAATATTCAGGAACTGACTAGAAAGGTAATAAGGAGCGGAGTCGAAAATCATGTAGTCCGAGTCCTGTGCCAAAATTCCGAAGCATTCGTGACGAACAGCGTATTCCGCCACTTCGATGTCGCATTCGTTCACTGACGTGTAAGTTTCGCACTGGCACTCGTACTTGATGATGAATCTAAAAGAGAAAAAGAAAATACAATACAAATACTTTTTTAACTTTAAAAAAAGATTGCGTGACACAAAAAATGGGTCTTCCAAAATTGTGCGAAAGTCAGAACGAACAAAATACATGCGCTGATAATTTTGTCAATCTCATACAGCTAATTATGGAAATTTAATTCTTTCTCATCCACTTCGAGTGCAAATGGAATATCATCAGAGAGACTTAGAAATCATGACAGGTCTTAAATTATCTGTAGTTGAAGAACTTGACAACATTTTAACCAATTTTCCACAAAATTGCAGTGTAACGTGTGTTGAAAAGCATAAATCTCGATACGAATTTTTAATTAGGTCCCCGGGAATTCATTGTAACAAGATTTTACTGTAGTTAAAAAAAAGTTGAAATTATTTCAACCGAAGGTTCACAAATCACCGAGTGATCATTCCCATGGACACAGGGAACTGGAAAATCTTGGGATCCGTGGGCTTCGCGTGCATCTTCTTCACGGCTCGGAAAATATCCTCAATGTCTCTTCCGCCCTGGACTCTCCGCTGCACCCACAGAGGGCGCTTCACTTCCGGCGTCG